CCAGGCTAAGGGCTGCAGACCAATCGTCTGCCTAGAGACTGTGTTATCGGTCCACCATGACATGGGTGGCCCCCGGTTCAAGTCACGTACTCTCCCTACACGTACTGAGCTTCGTCTGTAATGGGAACCACCTACAGACAGCGCCACCATCGCCCAAGGCGCAGAAAAGGCCCAGCTGCTAGCACACTGTCAGCAAACGCGTTCCAAGACCCGGATCTCAACGTTCATGGTTATAAACAGACGTTTTCACAAGGCACTGATGGTCACACAACACAGGCGAGGGTGCACGGCGGCTAGAGCTCTCCAGGCCACACCGCCAATCCCGAGGGCCGCCGGTCACTTGTGCCGACGCCCGCATGCCTAGCCCGTGTCCCCCTGCTCAGTACTGTGATCCAGGCACAGGCCTTGGGCTTCTTCGACACCACTTCTTTGGGAGCTGATGGCTCTTTGGGGGCAGGCTGTCCCTCCATCTGCCTCAGACTCCCAATCTAGGTGCCCACTCTGTGGGGATATATGCCATTTAAACATGGCTGCACTACTGACAACTGCAGCCCCCACAGGCCTCTATGCTGCACAGCATGTTGAGACTTGTCCCCAACATGTTGAGACTTGTCAGAGTGTGTTTTCCCAAACCTACTGTCCCTTTGCTGATTGACTTGTTTACCTGAATTCCTTCTCCCTTGCCCGCACCCAAAGCCCATTGTTTTGTTAATTGCCTTACTGATTGCTGTACTGACTATAAAATAAACTCCTGGCACTGAAGTGGGGGTCGACTCCTCAGAGTGACCCTCCTGGCCCCACTTCTCTGTAAGAGTGGTGCAGGTGGTTACTGTCTCCGCCGCGACACCACTCGACACTTCCATGGGTATCTACAGGCACCTCAAAGCCCAAAGGCTTGAACCTGAGCTCCCCTAAGCTTGTTTCTCAAAAATTGTGACTCCACCCACCCTTCTCGAACCCAGTACAAGGACTCTGGAGTAGCCTGGACTCTCCTTCACACCACACAGCAAATACATCCAAAACACTTGTCCCCGCTGTCACAAGTGTCACAATGTCACCAGAACGACAGCGTCAATCGCCAGTGTCCACCCTGCCACTACTCTACCCTGTCCTCGACCCAGCAGCCAGAGTGGCCCTTTTAAAACACAACTAAGATTTACAGACACACACGCAGCCATAAGGAGAAGTGAAGTCCTGATGTATGCTACGACGAGGGTTAGCCCTGAAGACATCACGCTGAGTAAAATAAGTCAGACACAGAAACACAAATACCGTATGATCTCACTTAGATCCAATATCCAGGATAGGCAAATTCAGAGACAGAAAATAGATCTGAGGTTCCCAGGGTCTAGGGTAGGGGGAGTACTGAGCTTCTGTTTGGGGTGATGAAAAAGATCTGGAAACAGTGACGACAGTTACACAGCACTGTGAATGTACTTAATGCCACTGAGTTACACACTCAGAAACGGTTAAAATGATACAATGCATGTTATGTATATTTTACCACAAAAAAAAAAAGGAAAACAAAACACAGCTAAGCTCCTATCACACCACTGCTCAACGCCCTCCAAAGACAAATCCCTGCAAGGTCCCCATGAGCCCCACGGCCCGCCCTTCGCTTCCTGCTGTGTTTAGTGAGATGTCTGCTGTCCACGGGGCCTGCCCTCAGCACTCCTCCCCCTTGCTTTTCCTCCTCAGCCCTTACTGCTTGGCCGTGTCTGTGGCAGGGTCAGTGTCAGCCATGCTGGGGGCCTGCCCCAAGTCTTAGGAGGCTCACCCGAACGAATGGGATCCCCGAGGAGAGCTGCACAAAACCCACCGCGGACACACTGAGCCAGCAGAGAGGGAGCCCGCACCATCCTGGCTGGAAGGGGTAGCAAAGAGGACACAGAGAAAATTACAGCCAGGTTGTTTACAACTGGTTTTCCCAGAGAGTCCCAGGCAAACCCATCTGGTTTAGCGTATTCCCCATACTTTCTCATTTTAAAAAAGTATTATTAATTGCAATAAAATAAGCGGAATGGCAACCTCTTTTGCACTTCCAGCTTCTAGAAGATGTGAAGCACTGACACGTGGAAGCATCTGAAACAGCAGCAGGAGCCCCCCACCCTCTTCCCAGCTCATCAGACACAAGCCGGTGACACTCCCTTCTAGGCACACACAGGGCACTTGGGGACAAAGGGAGAACTCAGACCCGAGGGGCCGGGCAGCCAAGTCCACCCGGCCCAGGAGGGCGTGGGACGCACTCAGTGCCCTGTTGTGCCAGTTAGGTGTGCCACCGGGCCTTGAGTGGCATGAAGTGGCCGGGCCGCCTTGACGTTACACAGATGCACAGCAGACACAGACAGGGTGGTCTGAGCAGGTTTGCTGTGGTACATGGTGTAAAGCTACAACTGGTTCTAAGTTTTTCGTTAGTTTTGCAGCAAACGCTTTTGGCAGCAGTAAGCTCAAAAAACGGAAGTGAGTAATTGAACACTGATGCTGCTGATGAACATATAACCGAGCCTGGATCGGCTGCCATTTACTGTTTGCTTCGGGGGCCACGGTGACACCAGAGGCGTGAAGGCTCGACAGACCTGCTAGGGCACTGACTTCAGGGTCAGCTGGTATCTGCAGACGACAGTGCCTATGACCACGTCCAACGTCTGCAGCTGCAGACACAGTCACATTCTGCTCTGTAAACCGTGACTTCATTTAGCAAGTAACAGTTTCACACAATTATTCTGCTCGTTCTTATTCCAAATTTCCCTGGACACGTACCAAGAGCGAAGCAATAGCTATTAATGTATTGGTTCCATAAGCACTTTATTTTTTTCTTGGCTATAATCTTTTTTTTTTTTTTTTTTTAATTGTACTTCAGGTGAAAGTTTACAGAGCAAACTAGTTTCTCATTAAACAGTTAATACACAGATCGTTCTGTGACCTTGGTTGCCAACCATGCGATACGTCAACACTTTCCCCTTTTCTGCCCCGGGTTTCCTGTTTCCATTCATCCAGTTTTTCTGTCCCTTCCTGTCTCCTCATCTCTGCTTTTGGGCTGGTGTGCCCATTAGTCTCCTATGCATGAACTGAACTATGAAGCCCATCCCTCACATGTTTTATTGTTGGCCCTACAGACCTGTCTAATCTTTGGCTGAAGGGTGAACCTCAGGAGTGACTTCAATACTGAGTTAAAAGGGTGTCTGGGGGCAATACTCTCGGGGTTTCTCCAGTCTATGACAGACCAGCAAACCTGGCATCTTATGTGAATTTGAATTTTGTTCTACATTTCTCTCCCGCTTTGTCTGGGATCTTCTACTGTGGATCCCAGCCAGAGCAGTCAGTGGTGGTAACGAAGCACCATCTAGTTGTTCTGGGCTCAGTCTGGTGGATGTTGTGGTGGTTGTGGTCCATTAGTTCTTTGGACTAATCTTTCCCCTGTGTCTTTGGTCTTCTTCATTCTCCTTTGCTCCAGCAGGGATGGGACCAGTAGATGTATCTTAGATGGCTACTTGCAGGCTTTTAAGACCCCAGTTGCTACTCACCACAGTCGGATGTAGAACATTTTCTTTATAGGTTATGTATGCCAATTGAGCTAGATGTCCCCCAAGGCCAAGGTTCCCAGCCCTGAGCCCAGAAGCTTACTCTCCCAGGGAGTCTGGTTGTGTCTGTGAGGCTTCTATGACTCTGCCCTGGTCAAGCTGTACTGTCTTACTCTTCATCAAAGTTATCACTTGTCTACCATCTAGTTGGTGTTTTTCCCTTCTCTCCCCAGCCCTCCCCACCTCGTAACCATCAAAGATTGTTTCTTTCTACATGGAAACGTTTTCATGTGTTTTTAGAATAGTAGTCTCATACAGTATTTTTCCTCTTGTGACTGATTTATTTATTTCACTCAGGGATAATGCCTTCCAGATTCATCCACGTTGTGAGATGTTTGACAGATTCATCATTGTTCTTTCTCGTTGCATAGTATTCCATTTTGTGTATGTACCATAGTTTGTTCATCCATTCATCTGCTGATGAGCACTTAGGTTGTTTCCATCTTGTTGCTATTGTGAATAATGCTGCAGTAAACATGGGTGTGCATATGTCTATTCATGTGATGGCTCTTACTTCTCTAGGATATATTCCTAGGAGTGAGACTGCTGGATTGTATGGTATTTCTATTTCTAGCTTTTTAAGGAAGCGCCATATTGTTTTCCAAAGTGGCTGTACCATTTTTCACTCCCACCAGCAGTGCGTAAGAGTTCCAATTTCCCCACAACTTCTCCAACATTTGTTATTTTCTGTTTTTTTGCTTTGTGCCAGTAGTGTTGGGGTTAGATGGTATCTCATTGTAGTTTTGATTTGCATTTCTCTAATCGCTAGTGATCATGAGCATTTCATGTGTCTGTTAGCCACCTAAATGTCTTCTTTGGTGAAATGTCTGTTCATAATGTCCATTTTTTAATTGGATTATTTGTCTTTTTCTTGTAGAGATGCTGGATTGTCCTATAGATATTTGAGATTAGACCTTTATTGGATATGTCATAGCCAAAATTTTTTTCCTAGTTTGTAGATTCTCTTTTTACTCTCTTGGTGAGTCTTTTGATGAATGTAAGTGTTTAATTTTTAGAAGATCCCATTTATCTAGCTTGTCTTCTGGAGTTTGTGTACTGTTAATTATGATCTGTACCTTGTTTATGCTGTACATTAAGCAGAGACTTTAAAGAAAAAGACAGTTAAACAAATTCAAATAATGGTCTGAGTTTTTTCATTTGAATCACAGAATCAAAGTAAAGATTCTGGAATGTCATTCTGCTGAAAGGACATTATTGTGAACATTACTGCAAATTCAGTTAAAAAACGCAGCACTGGCAGAGGACTGCTGGACTCCAGCACCACAAAAATTACCCAGAAATCAGTGACTGCCCTCAACAAAGGAACAGCAACAAATGGGAGCAGGCATCCCTCTGCGTCTGTCATTTTCACTCCAAAGTCCACCCAGCCACTGAGGAGCCCTGGCATGGAGCCAGCACCCAGAACACACAAAGCATGCCCAAATCTGATCCTTTAAATGATGGACACAACCATCTCAAATCTAATCCATAATATTTTTTAAAAAGACATACACCTAATTCTAAATGAAAAAAGAGAGCGGTCTACCCTACCTTCACAAACACTCTCTAGAGGGAAGTACGTAGTTTGGTTGATGTAGCCGGCACCTCCCATCAGCGAAGTCACACAGCCTATCAAAAGGCGGGTACCGGAGTCGGCCAGCCCTTTGCTGCTCTTCTTGCTGTCATCTTCCCATCTGTCAAAGACCGCTTCTACCTGTAAAACACGCAAATGCTACGTAAGCAGAGAAAGAGAATAAAGTAGAAAAATACACGTTTAACTGTTGTAGCTTAATGGTTGTTTCAAGCAATCACAGCTACCGTGGTGCCTGTATCTGAGATGAAGTGGCACATCCAGACACCCCGGAGCTTACAAACACAGTCTTTGTGTCTGAGTGTAATGGGCTGGCAGGAGAGACCCCAAGACAGACATGCTGCCACTGCCCTCCACGAATCCATAGCCAAGTGGGGGCTTCAGACAGAAATAACTCATTCAGAGCAAGCTATGAGACATGCTATAAAACAAGTCCAGACATTGGCTATGAGGAACTCATGGGAGGGAGTTTCTTGGAGAAAGTGGGATTTGACCCAGGCTGTGAAAGGAGAACGATTCCTGGTGGCAATGGAGGTGGGACGGGGCAGGAGCACTGCCAGGGGAGGAGAAGACAGGGGGCCACCACAGAGCCCTGCTCAGGGCAGTGGAGGGCAGAGCTCCACGTCGAGTCAGGAAGGCTCTGAAAGGCAGTCCTGTAGGAGCTTAGTGTGTCTGCAAACTTCGAAGTCCAAAACTTCATGCTGGTTGCAACTCTACTGGCCTGTATATCCTATTTCAAAACTACACAGAGAGGATGTTTCTTTTACAACAGTCAGCGCCGACAGCAAAAGCAGAACCGCCCTCTGTGTCAATGCCCTCCTCCCGCTCGTCCACTGGGGCTTTATGCAGCCACCACACCCCATCACCTCCTGGTGACATCGTGTCCCGGTGACGACCACAGAGCACTCTGCTTCTGTCTCCCGCCCCCATCCTCCCCCAGGGTCAGACGGGTGATCTGGCCGATGCTGAGGAGGGGACCATTCCCCAGGCCCTCCTCAGATCCTCTCCCTCAGACCCCCACCCCGTTCTTCTCCCTTTCAGACCCCACTGGCTCTCCAGCTTGTCCTCCTCATCTGGCAGCCCCTCTCCGCAGCTGTCCTCCTCCTGTCCCCAAGCAAATATACTTTGATGGCAAACAAAACAGGCAAAGACAACAAAAAGCCAACACAACAGTTACAAAAGCAAAACGAAACGCAAACGCAGCACCCCGCCCCACACACAAATTGAGCTGACAAGACCCACTTAAGAGGATGGACAGACAGCTGACACTACTTGACAACCCCGCTTCCTTCCCAGGGGATGCGTCTGTCCTGTCTGGAGACTGCATGTCACAGCTGTCACCCCGTAAGCCTATGCACTGATGAGAGAACCAGCCGGGACCTCTCATCTACCCGTGTCACCTCTCTGCCTTCTTCCACCCCGCCCCGCCAGGCCTCTCACCTCCTCCAGACATCACTCCGACTGTCACTGCCTCCCTCTCCTGCATCTTGACACGCACACTCTAGTAACTCAACTAAACAACTCCCTTGACTTCATCTCATCTCCCATCCACAAGCGGCCCCGTTTCTTGGCTTCCCTCATGCAGGACACTGAAAGAGGCATTTAAACCACACGCCCACACCTGTGATCCTCCCATCAGACCAGTGTGGCACTAAGGCCACTCTCAGGATCACCAGCAGTCTCCCTTGTTCTCACACCAATGGTCACTTCTCTCAGCCTCATGGCTGGTTACAAAGGTAACCTCTGCAGGAAAAAATATGTCAACTAATTAAAAAATTGGGAAGAAGGAAAAAGAAAGTAGTGAAAATGAGCCAATTCCATGTTGTTCAGGATGGGAGTCAGTAAATACTATCTGATGTTGACAAATCAGGAAGAAGTATCAACATACTGTTCAAGTGACCCAGTGTCCACCAGAAGAGCTAAAAATAGGAACCAAAAAAGCACTAGATTAGGTTTGAGGTTGAACGTGCACGTGGAGAGCTACCTTTCCATTTATAACCTTCCAGGCCACAGCAATCCAATAGAACTTTGTGCAGTGACAGAATGTTCCGTGTCTGTGCTGTCTGATCTGGTAGCCACTTGAAATGTGGCTAGTGGAACCAAGGAAACGAATTTCAAATTTTAGTTTTAATAAATGTAAATTTAAATAGCCACACATGGCTAGTGACTACTGTATTGGATAATGCAAATCTGCTGTTGCTGTCATTAGGTGCTATTGAGTTGGTTCCGATTCACAGCAACCCTATGTACAATGGAACAAGACACTGCCTGGTCTTGTGCCATCCTCACAATCGTTGTTACATTTGAGCCCACTGTTGTAGCCACTGTGTCAATTTATCTCATCCAGAGTCTTCCTCTTTTTCACTGACCCTCTACTTTACCAAGCATGATGTCCTTCTCCAGGGACTGGTCCCTCCTGAAAACATGCCCAAAGTACGTGAGATGAAGTCTCCCCATCCTCACTTTCAAGGAGCACTCTGGCTGTATTTTCTCCAAGACAGACTTGTGCGTTCTTCTGGCAGTTCCCTCCGTGGGATATTCAATATTCTTTGCCAACACCATGATTCAAAGGCATCAACTCTTTTTCAGTCTTCTTTACTCATTCTCCAGTTTTTGCATGCGTATGAGGCAACTGAAAATATCATGGCTTGGGACAGGTGCACCTTAGTCCTCAAAGTGATATCTTTGCTTTTTACACTTTAAAGAGGTCTTTTGCAGCAGATTTGCCCAATGCAATATGTCATTTGATTTCTTGACTGCTGCTTCCCTGGGCATTGATTGTGGCTCCAAGTAAAATGAAATCCTTGACAACTTCAATCTTTTCTCCATTTATCATGATGTCACTTATTGGCCAGTTGTGAGGATTCTTGTTTTCTTTATGTTGAGGCGTAATCCATACTGAAGGCTGTGGTCTTTGATCTTCACCAGTCAAGTCCTCTTCACTTTCCACCACACGTCTTCAACTGCTGATGTGGCACAACTCAAAATGAAAAGAAACAGCTGCAAACATCCATTAATAATTGGAACATGGAATGTACAAAACATGAATCTAGGGAAATCGGAAGTCATCAAAAAAGAAATGGAATGCATAAAGATCGCTATCCCAGGCATTAGTGAGCTGAAATGGACCGGTGTAGGCCATTCTGAATCAGACAATCATATGGACTACTATGCCAGGAATGACAAACTGGAGAGGAATGGTGTCGTGTTCATTACCAAAAAGAACATTTCAAGATCTATCCCGAAGACCAACTCTAGAATTTATTTAATTTTTATGTGTATATATAATTTTTAAAATTTGAGAAAGATGATGCTAAGCATTCAGCTGGCATTTAAATGACAGTAATGAAGTACATCTCAATCATTTTTAAAAAGGAGCAAAAAGGGCTCAGTAAGTTTGCCAGCTACCTAACTACATAACACCAATCAACAGCTTTCCTACAAAGAAATAAAAAGATTAGTCAGAACATACAATGCAAAATGACACTAACAATGTAACAAAAACAAAAATTCTTAGAAATAAACATATCAAGAAATTTGCAAAGACACCTACTGAACTGTCTTAGTCATCCACTGCTGCTATAACAGAAATACCACAACTGGATGGCTTTAACAAAGAGAAGCTTATTCTCTCACAGTCCAGGAGGCTAGAAGCCCAAATTCAGGGCGTCAGCTCCAGGGGAATACTTTCTCTGTCAGCTCTGGAGGAAGGTCCTTCTCATCAATCTTCCCCTGGACTAGGAGATTCTCTGCGCAGGAACCCCGGGTCCAAAGGATGTGCTCTGCTCCTGGTGCTTCTTTCTTGGTGGTATGAGATCCCCCTGTCTCTCTGCTCACTTCTCTCTTTTATATCTCAAGAGAAATTAACTTAAGACACTATCTAATCTTATAGAGCTCATCAATATAACTGCTACTAATCCACCTCATTACATGATAGCGATAGAATATACAAACATAGGGAAATCACATCAGATGGCAAAATGGTGGACAATCATACAATACTGGGAATCACAACCTAGCCAAGTTGACAGATATTTCTGGGGGATACAGTTCAATTGATGAGATGAACTAAAAGGAAAAACATAAAAGGAAGGCTCAGATAAATGCAGGTAAGCTTCATGGTTGGAAAAGACTATTATCAACACGTCGTTTTTCTAAATGAAATCCATAAACTCAGTGCATCCCAAGCAAATCCGAGAGGAGAAGGAAAAACAACATAATTCTAAAATTCATCCAGAATGTGCAAAGAGCCAGGAGATTCCAGATACAGACAAGTGTGAGGAAGGGCCTCCGGGTGCAAGCACAGGGAACCAAATGGCCCAGGCTGACTCGCGCACAGGGGAACTGGGTATGGGATGAAGGTGGCCTGTCCTCCAGGTGCACAATACAAGCAGCGGGACCCACAGGGACCAGGCACTCACACACATGGAGGAACTGGGTGTAGGATGAACGTGGCCTTTCCAGTTTGCAGGAAAAAGTGGATTGCTCAATGGGATAAACCCCAAAAACTCGTTGCAGTTGAGTTGATTCTGACTCATAGCGAACCTACAGGGCAAAACAGAACTGCCCCATAGGGTTTCCAAGGAGCGGCTGGTGGATTTGAACTGCTGAGCTTTTGGTTAGCAGCTGAGAGCTCTTGCATAAGTGACCAGTCATCAGGAAAGAAATGTCTGGTTCCCTCTCTTAGTCTAAACCAAAATAAACTCCAGGTAGACTAAATATTTAAACGTCCAGAAACAAATAATTCCTCAGGTAAAAACCTCAATAAATATTTGTAATGCAAAGTGGAATGTGCCCTCCTAAGGATTTTTAGAGTCCAAAAGCCACATGGAAAAAAAACGACACAAATGTTTAACTACATAAAACGAAATTCTATAAAACAAAGTCAAAAAACGGTCTGAAGAGAAATGCAACACTTTCATATAATAATTTTCCTTAAAAAGCTCTAATTTTCCTAATATATGAACTCTAATAAAAGAAAAAGTTGAACTCAACAAAAAATGGACGAAGGATATGAAAATAATTCACAGAAAAAAAGTGAGAAGTTGCTTTAACACTTAAATGTAAATTAAAATGGTAAGATCGCTTTTCACTTATTAGACTGGCAACAATTTAAAAGACTGACACTATCCACATCCTTGCTGATACCAGGCGGCAGGCATCTCACTTCCTGCTCCTCAGAGTGGCAGTGATACTTTACTGGAGCATAATGTGATGATAAATTCTACTTCTAAGAACTTATACTACAAAAATACTATTTTTACATGAGGAAGGAAATTGCCTTTCATTATCCTTGCCAATCTGGTAACACAACAACTACCATTTTCAACAATAATTTTTAAAAAACACTAGAAGACATAAGACTGTTCGCAGTGCTTGTCTCCATGGCATAAAACTATAAGCAAGCTTAACTTTCTGAATAAAAATTTCTACATTATACATACTTATATATAAATACATTTAAATGTGTATGTACATTTCTATATTCTGAATTATGAGTTTATAAAATCACATTACAATGACTGCCACTGACGTTTGAAAACATCACTATGAAGACAAGAAGCCACCATAAAGACAAACCTCGAAGCACCGCCCCCCGGGGGCATATGACTTCAAGTGCACGGCATGCCCCACGCCCGCTCGTCTGGGAGGTGGACCGGACGTGAGAAGAGCAAAGTGAAGCCTGTGGTGAAGAGACGGCCCCCAAACATGCAAGCCTTACCCGGATGGCTTTCAGTCCGTTTGACACTTTATTTTCCTCCACAACTGCAATCACTTCCTGCCCAACGTTGAGAAGCACCTTGCCGGCCACAACATCATTGGAGAAGTAGATCAAATCATCAATCATGCCATAGTCGCCGCAGTACCTTGTCACGACACCCTGTACGGTTTTCAGCTTGGTGTCACCTGCCAGGGCAAACGGAGATATGTAGACACAAAGTGAGCTCACACCGTGACGAAGCCCTACCAGAGTGAGCAGAGCGCTCAGGCATCCTCGGGCCTAGTGCCTTGAGGGCCGACCTGAGACCCAGAGAACACCGCTGGGAGCGGACAGCTCAGAAAGTCAGCCGCTTGAGGCAGACTGCCCAGGTCCCTCCAGGGACGGCGGTACAGGGCACGGGCAGGGGGCGCAGTTCAGGAGTCCTGGCTCCAGCGCCTGACAGCCTGGGCTTGAATCCTAGCCCTTCCACTTGCCATCTGTGTGACCCCGGGCAAAGTTCTTGGCCACTCTCAGCCTGTTATCACCTATAAAGTGCAGAAAGTAGAAGTGTCTACCCAGCAGTGTTGTCTGACGGTTAAGGGGCAGAATACACGCACAACGCACAGAACTCTGGGTGGCTGGCACAGGGCAGTATGAGGGTAAGATGTTGTCAGTGTCACATCGGCATCTGGAGAATTGTTAATCTCTGCGGTTGTTATTACTCTCTCCCTTCATTATCAACAGCAGCAGCAGCAGCAGCAGTGTTGGGAGTTCTATAATTCCCCATCAAACAAGGCACTAGAAGAGATTCAGGGCTTGGGAAGCTGAGCCTGGCACACGGCCTTGGCCACTCAGGTACCCACCCCACTACCGGTCTGGTCGAGAACCAGGGCTCCGGCCAAGGTCCTCCAAGTCCTCCTGGCATCTTCGCTGCTATTTCTCCAACACAGGACAAACCTCGGTACTCAGTCATGTTAGCCACAGGATCTAGTGCTGCCCAGAACTGGAGCGCACGCTGCTGGTGATGCCTGCATTTTACAGATGAGCCCCAGATCCATGAAGCGACTTGCCCCAGGCCACAAAGTCAGCTACCACAGCATTAGCAAATACGGACACAGACGGGGTATAACAAGCTGCCTCCAACAAGCAACCCAGTTTCTGATGTTTCAGATCTCCCTCACGGAGCATTTCATGTTTTAGAGGCTAGGAAAAGTAACTAGGGAACCATTACCCTGGATCCAATTCTCATATGAAAGGAGGAACTGGGAGAAAACATCAGTAATCTCAGGAGAAAGCAACTGTTTAATTCTGAGAGCCAGGGGGATCAATCTGCCTGGATCAGACATACACCCTGGACTTCAGGAAGACGGGTTCAGAACAATTTGACGAACGGAGAAGCATGACTCTGAGATTGTGAAGGACAATCGAAGACGATGACTGGAATGACATTTTCCAGAGCTTTCACAGCAACTGCAAACGACGCTGAAGGCAGAGAAAAGGCACAGTCGCGCAGAGACACTTTATCAAGTTGTCTGCCACATAAAAATACAGAGAAAATAACGAAGAATGGCTAAATGGCGGCATAGACTCAAAAGAGGTAAGACAAATGTCCAAGACCATGCAAAATGCTATCTATAGTAAAAAAAAAAAAAAAAAAAAACTTTTTAAATTATGCTGGGAAAAAGTGAGATGATCAAGGAAAAGATATGCCTTAGTTTTGAGGCTGAAACATAAGCAATAAATGACATTATGAGCATTGCATTTCTCACACTGTTTATATCGTACTAAAGCTCTGTGACCTAATTAACACTACCTTCCCTGATTTTTAATATACGTAAGAATAGTAATGGGGGACAATGGTGGTTCAGTGCTAGAATTCTTGCCTCCCATGGGGAGACCCAGGTTCAATTCCCAGCCAACACAGCTCATGAGCAGCCCCCACCCATCTGTCAGGGGAGACTTGCATGTTGCTATGATGCTGCACAGATTTCACTGGAGCTTCCAGACTAAGACAGACTAAGAAGAAAGGCCTGGTGATCTACTTCCAAAAACCAGCCAATGAAAACACTGTGGATCACAGTGGTCCAATACAGCTGTGAATGGGGTCACCATGATGCGGGGCCACCATGTTGGCAGCAACTCCACAACAGCCAACAACAACTAGTAACAAAGACCTAGAAAACATTCCACATATGCCATCAGTGGCGCTACTGTGAGTAGGAGAAGCCTGCCTCTGAGAAACCAGCATCTATCTGTGCACCGCCGACACCAGCCCGCCCGGCCACCTGTGCAACCAGAGAACGGGTCTTCACCTTAGCAAACGCTATCCCACTGGGATCTCTCCTACCCTGGCCCGCCCAATTCAGAGATGGAAACCTGGAAATGCTGAGACCGATGCTGGTCCCTACAGCCGCCCGCTGGGGCCGGCACAAACACCCCGGGCGGACTCCGGCTTACAGCCTGGACAACGCCGGGGGAATCCCAGAAGCCCAGGAAGAGGGTGCAGAGGAGGGAAAAATGGACGCCACTGAACTTCCAAGGGCGACAAGGAGGACGTGATGGGGGGCCGGAGCGGGGGAGCGAGACTGCCTGTGCCCAGGGGTAAGGACGGAACCCCCCCGCGCGCAGAAGGACGGAACCCCCACCCCGCTCCCCGCGCCCAGGAGAAGGACGGAACCCCCCACCCCGCTCCCCGCGCCCAGGAGAAGGACGGAACCCCCCCCCCCGCTCCCCGCGCCCAGGGGAAGGACGGAACGCCCCCGCTCCCCGCGCCCAGGGGAAGGACGGAACCCCCCCCCCCGCTCCCCGCGCCCAGGGGAAGGACGAAACCCCCCCTCCCCCCGCCCAGGGGAGGGACGGAACCCCCCCGCCCCGCTCCCTGAGCCCAGGGGAAGGACGGAACCCCCACGCCCTACCACCCAGGGGAAGGACGGAAAGCTGGACGCCCCCCCCACAGAGGAAGAACAGGACCCCCTAATGCACGGCACAGGAGAAGGACGAGACCCCCCACTCCCCCTCCAGAAGAAGAACGCAACCTCCCATGCTCCCGCCCAGGGCAAGGACGGGACCCCCCATGCTCCCGCCCAGAGAAAGGACGGAACTCCCTACGCCTTCACCAAGGGCAGGACTGGACACCCACGCATCTGCACAGGGGAAGGACGGGAGCCCCCACGCCCCAGAGCAGAGAAAGGACGGAACCCTTCACGCCCCGCGCCCAGGGAAGGGCGCCACGACGGGAAGACCGAACCCCGGGGGCCCTGCGCCCCGCCCGCACCTTCCGCGAGCTCCGGCCCAGCCTCCTCGGCGGGGACGTCTGCCCGCCTCCAGAAGAAGGCCACCAGCTTGGCCGCGAGGCGCAGCATTCTTCCGCCAGCGCCGCCTCAGCCTCTGCTCCGTCCGCCGGCGCCTCGCTCTCAGTTACTCCGCTTCAGCTGCCCGACGCGCTGCACGCGGCCTCGCTCGTCCCGCAGCTCGAGGCCAATGGCGATCCTGCGCTGCGTCTGCTCCCGCCCCCTGCTGCCTGCCGGGCCAATGGCGACGCCGCGAGCGCCGCGATTGTTAGAGGTTGGCGGTTGGAAGCCGTTGGAGCGTGCCCGTGTGAGCGTTGTACTGGGGGACGTGGCCTCGTGCCAGTGGGGCGCGGTGTAGTGTTGGGCGGGGTTTCGGGCCGGGTGGGCGGGGCATTGTGCCTGGGCAGCTTTTCGTGGCTATGGGCCGGGTAGGCGGGGCTGCGTGTGGGGGCGTGGTGCAGCTCTAAGTGGGCGGGGCTTCGGGCTGGATGATTGTCTTGCCGGGATTGGGAGTCACGTGTAGTGGGCGTCGTTGCCTTGCTTCCGCATCTTAGGGGAGAGCGTTCAGTCCTTCAAGGTTGGAGATGTCCTTTATCAAGCTGAAGAAGTTCCCCTGAAATGCACGTGTCGTTCTTTTGTTAGCCTGTTAGTGTAATGAATTACATTGATTGATTTTCAAATGTTGCACCAACCTTGCATTCCTGGGATAAACTACACTTGGCCATGGTGTATCATCCTTTTTATATTTTGCCGGATTCATTTTGGTAAAAATTTGTTAAGGATTTTCTATTAATGTCCGTAGGGATAGTGGTCTGTAATTTATTTATTTTTTGGTAGTCTGACTGGTTTCGGTATCAGTGTGAAACTAGCCTCATAAAATGAGCTGGGAAGTGTTCCTTCCTCCTCCATCTAAAAGATTCCTTGTATGTTTGGTAACATTGACCGGTGAACTCAGGCCTGGCGTTTTCCTGGTGGGAAGGGTTTAAATTATGGATTCAATTTCTGTATAGGGCTATCGAATTAATATTGAGTGAACTTTGGTAATTTGTGACTTTCAAGGAACTTGTCCATTTCATTCAAGTTGTCAAGTTTATTAACATAAAGTTGTTTACGATATACCCTTATTATCCTTTTAATGTTTGTACAGTATGTAGTGATGAACCATCTTTCTTTTCTGAAGCTGGTAATTTGTCCTCTCGTTTTTCTTGAACAGTCTAGCTAACAATTTATCAGTTTTACTGATCTTTTAAAAAAAACCAATTAATTGGTTTTCATTGTTTTTTCTATATTATTTATATCTTCAATTTCAATGATTTCTGCTCTTTGTTATTTCCTATCTTCTACTTTTTTTTCTTTTGGTTTAAATTTTTTAAATAACTTATTAAAGGAGCCCTGGTGGTGCAGTGGTTAAGTGTTCAGCTGCTAACTGGAAAGTCAGTGGTTGGAACCCACTAGCTGCTCCACATGAGAAAGATGTGGCAGTCAGCTCCTGTAAAGATGACAGCCTTGGAGACTCTGTGAGGCAGTTCTTCTCTGTCCTATAGGGTTGCAATGAGTCGGAATCCACTCAATGACACTCAACAACAAAAGCATAGGTTCTTTTTTTTTTTTTAATTTTATTGTGGTAAAATATATTTAACATAAAATTTGCCATTTTAACCTTTTTAAATGTACAATTCAGTGGCATTAATTCCAGTCACAATTTTATGAGCATAGCTTCTTAAGGTGGGGGCTTAGATAATTAATTTTGGAACTTTATTTTTTAATATAAGCATTTAAAGCTATAAATTTCCCTGAAACACTGCTATAGCTGCGTCCTATAAAATTCAATGTGTTTTCTCTTCATTTTCATTCAGTTTCTAATTTCTCTTGTGATTTCTTATTTTTTTATTTTTTTAACTTTGGAGGTATATTATTTAATTTCCAAGTATTTGGGGATTATCTAGATATTTTTCTGTTATTGGTTTGTAATTTAATTTTATCATGGTCAGAGAATAAAATCTGGATGATTACAATCTTTTAAAATTTATGGCGACTTTTTTTTGGCCCTGCATATGGTCTCTATGAATGTTCAGCTGTGCGGTTGAGAAAAATGTGTACTCTGCTGTTGTTGGTTGGAGGGTCCAATTTAGCTGGATCAACATGTTTTCCTTTTACTAGATCAGATCATATTTCCTTTTTGAGAGAGTTAAAAAAAAAAAAAAAACCGAACCAGTTGTGGCGGAGTTGATTCTGACTCATGGTGACCCCATGTGTGTCACAGTAGAACTGCACTCTGTAAGGTTTTCAATGGCTGTGATTTTTCAGAAGTAGATCACCAGGCTTTTCTTCTGAGGCACCTCCGTGTAGGTTTAAACCATTCATTGAAAACCCTGTGGAGCACAGTTCTACTCTGACACACACATGAGGCCACCATGAATTGGAGTCGACTCAGTGGCTTCTTGCTAGGAATACACGTGAGTGCCAGCAGTCCCAGGAGGTGATGGAGTGTGGCGGGAAGAGACATCCTCAGAAACGAGAGGCAACACCGAGGGTCAGAGCCCAGACTTGGCTTCCAAGGGTGCTGAGAAGAGGTGACCAGAGCAGGCGGGTTTGCAGAGCAACCCACCACTTCACAGGCCTGTCCCTTTGTATCCGTGGTCTGAGCCTCTCTCCTGGATCTGGGACTCTTCAACCAAGTGCTCCACAGATCCACGTGGATGCCTCACAGACCACTCAACCTCATCCCGACCCTCTGCTCCACACCTGCTTCACCCGTCCCTCCCCTCTCGGGTACGCAGCTCCGTCCTCGGTGTGCAGGCTGAAAACCCAGTGTCATCTGAACTCCTGTCCCACATCACTTCAGACAGCAGATCACGTCAGCGCTTCAAAGTCACCCAGAATCCTGCCACATCTCACCCCCTCCACTGCTGCCACCCTAACCCTGAACAGTGCCACCTCCCACCCACCGCCTGTACCTGTCCCCACCGCCTCTCACCCGCTGCCCTGTACCTGTCCCCACCGCCTCTCACCTGCTGCCCTGTACCTGTCCCCACCGCCTCTCATCTGCTGCCCTGCACTTGTCCCCACTGCCTCTCAGCCACCGCCCCGAACCTGTCCCCACCGATTCTCACCCGCTGCCCCACCCACGCCTGTCCCCACCGCCTGTCACCCGCAGCCCCGAGCCTGTCCCCACCGCCTGTCCCCCACTGCCCAAGCCTGTCCCCACCCAGCAGCCGGTGCTCCTCCGCTCAGAGCCCTCCAGTGGCTCCATCGCAGACCAAAGCCAAGGTTGCTGCTCAGCGTGGTGCGTGGCTGCCCCGCCTCCACCTTTTCTCTGCCCCCACCTCACCCTGCAGGACCCTTGTGCCCACCCTCTTCCAGCCCCCACCTCGGCCACGCGGGGCCTCTGCGCTGCCCCGCCTCCCGTCGCAGCCTTGCTCCAGCTATCTGCCAGGCTTGCCCCTTGCCTTCTGCAAGTCCTTGCTCAGTGAGGCCTGTCCGGGTCCCCCAGACAGCACCCCATCCCCTTCCTCTGATGTGTCTTCCGTCGTAGAGAAAATAAAGTGTGCTGCCAGATGCCTTGTCCCCTGTGGCCGCCGTAACCGAGGACCCACATGGGACAATGTAAAATGAGAGAGATTCATTCGCTCGCTATTCTGGCAGCTAGAAGTCTGAACTTGGGGGGGCGCAGGCCCACGCTCCCTCTGAAGGCCCCAGGGGAGGGTCCTTCCTTGTCTCTCCCAGCTTCTCGCGGCTCCAGGTGTTCCTTGGCTTGTGGCCACATCACTCTGGCTCTGTCTTTGTCTTCACACAGCAGTCTTCCTCCTGTCTGTCTCTCCTCCTCTTTTGTAAGAACACCACTTAGATGGGATTAGGACCCCCCCTGCTTGTCTCAGTCATCTAGTGCTGCTCCAACAGAAATACCACAAGTGGATGGCTTTAACAAAGAGAAGCTTATTTCTTCACAGTCCAGTAGGCTACAAGTCCAAATTCAGGTCATCAGCTCCAGGAGAAGGCTTTCTCTCTCTGTCGGCTCTGGAGGAAAGTCCATATCATCAGTCTTCCTTTGGTCTGGGAGCTTCTCTGCGCAGAAACCTCAGGTCCAAAGCACGCGCTCTGCTCCCAGCACTGCTTTCTTGGTGGTATGAGGTTCCCATGTATCTCTGCTCGCTTCTCTCTTTTATATCTCAAAAGAGATTGCATTAAGACACTAATCTCTTCAACCTCATCAGTATAACCTCATCACAGTGATAGAATTTACAACACATGAGGAGATCCCATATAATCTCATCATAGTGATAGAGTTTACAACACATAAGGATCACATCAGATTACACAATCATACAATACTGGGAATCATGACCTGGCCAAGTTGCTACACACAGTCTTTGGGGGACACAATTCAACCCATGACACTGCTCTAGCGTGACCTCCTGTGAACCAATAACACCTTTAAATACCCTGTTTCCAAACAAGATCACGTTCACAGGTACGGGGGTTACAACTTCAACATATCTTCTTGGGGGACATAACTGAACTCGAACACCATATAACACACACATTTCCTACTGTCGGTGCCCCTGTCCCCCGTTAGAACGTAACTTTTGTGTGGTCAGAGCTGTGGTCTGTTCTCAAGCCTGTACCACAGAGGGCGTCCGGCAGACAGCGAGTGCCCCGGAAGTGTTGGCTGAAAAGCTGCACAAATAGCAGAGCACATATGGGGCCTCTCCAGGCAGAGAAGGGAGCAAAGGGCGCTTTGGGGAAAATTGTTTAAATGCAGCAGTTGTGAAGATGGCACAGGACCAGGCAGTGTTTCATTCTGTTGCACATAAGGTCACCACGAGTCGGAGCCAACTCGACAGCAGCTAGCAACAACAGCTTGTTTAAAGAAAGCATGAAAGAACAGGACTTGTTCTAGAAACTGGGATTGCCAAGAGAAACAAGGAAGTATTTCTCAAGTGACTGAATTTATGGCTCTGGATACTTGAGGAATTTGATCCATAATCTCTGATTCAAAGCAGCTTCCTTTAATTTCTTGTTGAGAACAACTTTTGAAAGGCACCAAAATAGTGAAACCTATTTAACAATGGTTTTTCCTCAAACAAAAAGCAATGCAGAAGGCTCAAGGTAGTGGGACCAATTCCTGTTAATTCAGCTCATCGCTTTCAAAGACGGTCAATAAAGAAGTTTGGAGAGTTCCTCAATCTGCCCAAAATAGTTCTTGACTCAACAGGTTGTCGCTTGGGAAAATTGTCTCTAATCCTTCTTGCTCGGCTGAGACAAGGAGATGGCAGAACAGCTCGTGATTTGAAACCCAGCGGCGCTGCTGAAGTTTCAAGTGGGCCACGATCTAGGAGTTGTTTTTCTAGAATTCTTTGGTTTCAGCTGCTTTATAGTCACAATGCGCACAAAAGAATCTGTCGCTGTAGCTGTCAGGATGCCAGTGTCTGGGCGAAATACATTCTTGTCTTTTCTCTCTGCTTAGTGAGCAGAGAAAGGGCTCAGCAGGCCGCACTGGCCAGCCACCAGGACTGCCCACCGGAAGCTGGGGGTCGGAATTCTGAGCAGCTCCTGGCCATGCTACCAAGGCGAGTGTGCAAATGTTTACATGTTCTGCGCCTGTCCTCATCACGGTCACTGGGGAAGCAGAGAAGGCTGCTGGGAAACATGGCAGAGTCAGAACCCTTGGTACCGAGCCACTTGCTTCAAAGCCGAGTTGGGCTCCGGCGCACCAGCCTACTGGGGTCTTGTACCCCGTGGAATTTTATTGCTGGTTCCCCTCTTCCTTCTTAGGATGAACCACCGGGGCGCCGGTGAGCAGGGCTGAGCAGGACCCTAGGAGAGTTCCCACGAGGGAGCACTGAGCAGCCCTGAGCCCCCGGCTACCCAACTGACGCGAAGCTTGGGAATTGGCAGCTTCAGCTCCTCATTAGGATTCAGGAGGCAGCCCTCCAGCCCCTGGTTTGAGCCCAGTTTTGCCGAGCTTTTGTTCCACTTGTGAATAGTGCTTGCAGGACACCAAGGGCAGAACAGCCTGGTAACGGCGAGCCCTCACCCAGAGAGCAGCTCCCCGAAGCCGGAAGCCACAAAGGTAAGCTCATAGGTGTTAGACCTGAAGCAGGTGCCTGTTCACCACCTCCGGTCTGGTTACCACCTTGAGGCATTTACACAGCTTTGAGCAACCCCCACGGCATGCGACTCATCAATGAAGCTGCTCAGGGAGATGACAGCTGACATGTATTGAACCTGAGACCCAGATAAACGAAGCATTGGAAGCCTAAGAGCACGCCCTGAAATGAAGTCACCCAGGCTTGTTTCGCATGAAGTGCCCCTTTCTGTCTTCAACTGTTCAGCACTTTAGTACAAACGATATTTCTTTTTAAAAAGTTTTACAAGTCCAGGGGTGAGAGGGAGGGGAAAATGCTTAGGGGGCGCTGAGTTTGTGTTCAAGGCGGTGGAATATTTTGGAAGAAGCTAACAAGAACGGTGGTACAACGTGTAGAATATGATCGATGTCGCTGAGTTGTAAATGCCGAGGTTGTTGTTTTGATGTGTGTATTTTCACCACTGTACGTATAAAAAGCATTCGTTGGAAACAATAACTCAAGTGGAGTTTTCCCGGCGTGGCCGAGGGCGGGTTGCAGTTTTATAACCCGTACATAAGTGGTGGTGGCGTCATTTGGCGTCTAAGGGCGGCTGTTGCGTCCCCGCGGCAGTGCCGGCTCTGCGGGCGCCATGACGCGGGAGGAGCCCTACCACGAGGAGTTCAGCTATGACCGGATGCCCACCCTGGAGCGGGGCCGCCCGGACAGCCCCAGCTACGGCGCCGACGCCAAGCCCAACGACCTCCGGCTGACCAAGAGACTCCCGCCGTGCTTCAGCTACAAGACGCGGATCTTCTCTGTGCTGGTGGGGGTGAGTAGCTCCATGTGGGGACCGTTGTCATGACCATGGGGGACCCTGTCGCATCCTGTCACCTCAGACACGCCTTTGCGTGAGGCACAGACGCGCCGGCACTGCGGTCTGGAGCCCGTGTTAACCCTCGTCGGGCAGGCCTCTCTGAATGTAGATGACGCGTGTTCATTTCGCTCTTGAAATCGTTTGTCTCAACTCGTCAGTATCTATTGCTCTGACCTTGTGCTGCCCTGGGGAGCCCCCCGCCAGGAAGGTAGAGGACGGCCCGCGGGCCTTGCCGACGTCCACAGGGTCATGTGAGGGGCCTAGCTGTGGGGTGGTCCAGAGCCTCCCCCAGCTGGCAGCATTGTACTTACTGCCGAGATGAGGAGACAAGGAGGCGGCCCGGGTGCTCTTAGGGCAGCATATCTGGCACCAGGACAGTGTCCTGAGACCAGAGGGCAGGGGTCAGACACAGGCCTAGGGGCTCTCCTGGGCGGGGACGTTTCCCGTGCAGATGTGCTCACACTTAGGTCATAGAAAGCGTCATGGGGATCAGTGTGACAACTGTCCACGGTTGGCCTTGAGCCTGTCTGCACACGGGCATCAACTGTGTGGGAACTGCAGCGTTCCGGGGTCCCCAGGCTGCTGGATACGTCCCTTTGCTAGTAGGAGCCTTCACTTTAGAGGCTACGGACCCTCGCTCCAGCCTCCCCGCACCGCAGGGACCTCTCCCTACCTCCTGGCTCTGGATGCCACCATTGCCGCACCTCAGCTTCCTCTGCACCTGGGCATCTGGGCACCTGGGCCAGGCCTCCCACACCCTCAGCCGTCCTGCCCACCCCTCGCTACCACAACCTGCCCCTGCCTCACTGTGAGGCGGGACCCTCTCCACCCCTTGCTGGGGGTAGACAGAGCTCCTCCTGCCTCCTGCCCTCCTGCTCTGGGGGGTGGCAGCAGGGTCCTTCCTCTGCCCCAGCAGATTGTGGCTGCAGCACTTAACCCCCCATCTGTCCCTTCCTCATTTAGGTGAGCGAGGGTCTGGGTCAGGGAGGGCAGAGTGAGGAAGTGGAGGCAGCGAGTGATGGGGTGCCAGGTGGGGGTGTTGGGGGTGCTGGGCAGGGGGGCAGGGCCACAGCCCTGCTTTCTTCTATTCTTCAGTGGGTCTCAGGATAAAGCTGGCGGCCCAGTCTCCCCCACCGGCACTGGGTCTTCACCTCGGCCCAGATTCTGTGATTGTGTCCAGCATTGGGGACCCCCTGCCCCGACCAGTTCCCACAGTCTGACTCGATGCCCAGCCCTGGGACGGGGGCAGGGCCTTGCTGCCTGGCTCCACCCTTCAAGGTTCCTCCAGCGAACAGATGGACCAGGCATTGCAGGATGCAGGGGTCCCACATGTGGGGCCAGGGAGCAAAGCAGTGGACGGAGGAGAGCAGAGGTCAGGAGGCAATAAAAGCATTGGGAGACATAGAAGGGGGTCAGGGAGCTGGAGCGTGCAGGGAGTGGGGGATCGCCATGGGCTTTGTCGGGAAAAGAGTATTTGAGCAAAGACCTGAAGGAGGTGAGGGAGGCCTCCTGCTGTCTGAAGTGAACAGTCTGGGCGGGAGCAGCCAGTGCAAAGGCCTGGGGCAGGAGCATGCTTGGAGTGTCCAAGGAGCAGCCCTTCCTTGGACGGATGGACGGGGGGGACTGGTGGAAACATGGCCAGAGAGGTATAGGGGTCCAGTGCAGGGCCTCCTAGAGAGGGCGCCTTCAGGGCCTGGGCACAGGAGGAACATGGCAGGACTTCAGTTTTGAAAGGATCCCTCACTGCTGTGTGGAGAATGGACCGCGGGGGGCGAAGGTGGAGGCTGGAGACCAGGCAGGTCTGAGCAGAGGACAGGAGGGTGACTCTGCTCACCTGTTTGGCTGGGGTGTACGCAGCATCTGCCCGGAGGGGTTGGCTTCTGCAGAGGGAGTGTGATAGGTTGTCTGGAGGGGGTCCATGAAGCCCCTGAAATTGCAATGTTAGGGTGTGGGCGTTTTCTGGAGGAGAGGTGCTGTTTCTTGCTTCAGACTTTCAGAGTCCCCTCCCCCATTACTATATTAAGCTCCACTGCTCTGACACCTGGGGGGAGGGGGGTTCTGTTGCCTGGGGTGTGGCAGGGACTACAGCCGCTCTTCGAGAGGAGCTTAGGTCAGGCGGGATCCAGGTGCAGGTTGATGCTGGGAAAATGCTTCCCAATCACCTGATTTACAAAATTTGTTACATCGTCATCAAGGAGTGCATTGTTTCTCAGCTGACTACTCCATCTTCAGACATGCCGCATTTCAGCCTGACCGGGTGTTGCTGTTTTGCAGAGCTGCCTTCTGGTAACCTCCGGGTTTTCACTCTACCTGGGAAACGTGTTTCCATCGGAGATGGACTACCTGTGCTGCGCGGCAGGCTCTGTAAGCCCCTCTCCTTCCTTGGGCCTCCCGACACAGACGTCCACTGGTATACGATGTTTGAGTTCTTAACTCTGCAGCCTGCAGGCTGCTGCCACTTGTCTCCTCATTCCACAACCCCTTTTCATGATGCTAGCTTCAGATAGGATTTATGACTTGAAAAGTGTCGATGGAGCAGCTATGACTCTTGCTACATAGACTCCCGAATCGCAGCCCCACCCTGCAGCTGGCGGGCAATTAATCTTGGTGATTTGGGGGCTGCACACACGCCCACCACCTGCCCGCTCCCCCTGAAACTTTTGTGCTGTGTTTCTGAAATATTACCCAGTGCCAGGGCCTGGGGAGGGGCGGGGTGGGGGTTGTCCACTGACCATCCCAGGAGAGACGACTGGAGGACCCCCGACTGCCTGACTGTGCTGCGGCTCAGCCCCCGTGTCCCCATGCTGCCTCTGGCAGAGGCACATCCCCGGGGTCCTGTGTGTGTTGGTCCTGGGACCCCCCTGGCCAGCTTGCTCTCCGGGGTGGTCTCTGGGCTGGGGGTGGGAGGTGCACTTTTCTGAGGCCCTAGACTGTCAGCCAAAGCTGGTCGGAGGCAATTCCTTTTCCTGACCACAATCTCCCCGCACCTCTCGGCAGCTCAGGTGGCTGGCCCAGCGCCACCCCCCCGCACGCTCACCTCCTGGCCTCCTCCCCGCTGTAGCTAATGACCGGCATTGAGCACCCCCAGCACCCCCATCTCTTATCCCCACCCTATCCAGTATTCACTGTGTCCAGCCTCCCCGTCGCTGGGCAAGAATGCCGCTACGGACTGTCCCCATCATGCCCCAATGCCTTAACAAGGGCCATTGTGAAAGACAGAAAGGGCACCCCCCATGCTGCTCCATCTGCCCCCCCAGAATAGAACTCCTGGAAAGAATTTGACCCAGCCCCTGCTGGTCCGGAAGCTTCTCCTTGGTCCTCTGTCCTCACCACTGACGCAGCCCCTCCCGGATGGCCCACGACCGGGCCCACTCCCCACCACGGGTGTCAGTAGTGCCCCAGCCCTCTCAGAGGGGACTGGGTGGGCCACGCTGGGTGGTCCCCACTCGACACTGCCTGTCCCTCACCTGCCTCTCGGGGGCCCGTGGAGCTGCTGCCCGCATCCTGCTGTCCTCTGTCCTCTGTCCTCCGAGAGCGGCTCTTCTTAGCGCTGCGTTGTCCTCGACAGCGAGTGTGTCTCAGACCTGCCCTCAGCCCCATCGCAGTCTCCTGTGGAGGCCACAGACTTAGGAATCCTGGCTCCCTCAATCCTGCCTGCTTCACATCTGACCCTCCTCGGGCCCCCAGGCCCCCACCCAGTGTCTGCAGGGCCCCCACCCCGTGTCTGCAGGGTTGACACCCTGCAGGCCAAGCTGCTGTCACCTCCTCTGCTATTCACCTGGTGCCCGTTGTTTTCAGGGGTGCCCTCTTGCCCAAGTTCCTTGACTCCTGTCCAGCCCCCAGACTAGCCCCCTTGGGCATGTCTTGGGGTGGGGGGGCTTGGAAAGGAGCCTCTGAGGGCTCTGGGGGCTCCTGAATAGAAAGGGCACAGTTCCTACTGACTTCACACATAGTTATGTTTTCCTTTTCTGTAATTCTTAACATTGCGGTAATGCCTGGCCTTGTGGCCAAAGCGAACTGCATCCTGGACTTCCGCGTGCAGTGAGAATAGCTCTCCTTACTGAGCGCTCATCAGAAAATAAACATTGCCAGAATAAACTATTTTGAAGTGCACGGGCCGCTCAAAGTCGAGCAAGTCACCTTGCCCCTAGTGGGTTGGAGACACTTTGCACATTTGATTCAACCATCACAGCAAAACCACGCCAAGCACGCGGTGCGGGCAGCACAGAGCTCAGGTCGGTAACTGTCCCCCCTCCACGCTCTGCTTTCTCTCCAGTGCATTCCCTCGGCGGTTGTGAGCTTTGCTGTTTCCAGACGAAACGTCAATGCGGTGAGTCCTACCTTCTGTCTGTCGCCTTCGAAATGGACCTGCTGCTCACGGGCTGGGAGAGGGACCCTGATGGCAGGGCTCAGCAGGCGTGGGCAGGAAGGTGGGCTGGCACCCTGCAGGGCTGATGAGCATGTGTGTGTACGTGTGTGCACACATGTGTATATGCACCGTGTGCATGTATGTGCATGTGAATGCACACGTGATTCGTGCATTCGTGTGTGTGTACCTGTGTGCACATGGGTGCGTGTGGGGGGCACGGCTCCACAGCCAAAGTGATGAAGAAGGTGCAGAGAGGTGGCCCACAGCAGCGCCCCGTGGAAAAACGACTTCTGCCCCAGACTGCAGGGCTGCCCCGCTCCCACCTTCGGCCCGGAAGGGAGGCCAGGGGAGGCCCGGCTGCTAGTTCCTGTGTCTTACGGTCTCTAGGGTCTTAATGAACGACCTAGAACTTGGTTTAGTGTCATCTTTACTTCTTCAGTCCAGAGGGGAGAAACTCTCCCGTCCTGTTTTCCAGATCCCCAACTTTCAGATGCTGTTTGTTTCCACGTTTGCTGTCACAACAACGTGCTTGGTTTGGTTTGGATGTAAGCTGGTCCTGAACCCATCGGCAGTGAACGTGAGTTATTGGGAAGAGATCCGCTGGAACACCCAGATGACTAGAATGTGTTTCCCTCCCGCTGTCACACGTGACTGGGATGCAGGGAGCGTGGGGCGCGGGGGAAGGCACAGACTGGTCTGCTCCGTTTCCCACGGGCTGCAGGGCCTCCGGCGCGGCCTGTCCCCACTTAGGGAGCCTCGTATGTGGACCCGGGAGTGTGTGGTAGCTGCCCAGTGCGTTGCACTTCTTGGGTCTGACTCTTTGAGAATTGTATGATGCTTCGGAAGAAAAGAATTGTCTTTATTTAATTCTTTCATTGCTTCCAGTAGATGGATTTATCGATAAATAATATATATTTTTAAATTTTTGTTTTCTTTTTAATGTTTTGCCATTTTAACCATTTTTAAGAGTACAATTCAGTAGCATTAACTGCAGTCACCATGTTGTGCAGCTTTCAACACTATTTCTAAAAACTCGGCCATCATCCCGAACAGAAACTCAGTGCCCTGAGCCGTGGCTCCCAACCCGCTTTTCCTCCAGTCCCTGGTAGCCTCTGATCTGCTTTCTGTCTATACAGTTGCCTGTTCTAGATGTTTCCTGTAAGTGGGATCATATGACATTTGTCCTTTTGTGTCTGCTTTATTTCACTCATATAACGTTTCCAAGGTTCATCCGTATTATAGCATGCACCAGGACTTCATTTCTCTTTATGGCTGAATAATATTCCATTGTATGTATGTACCACATTTTGTTTATCAGATAAATAATATTTTTAACATCTCATTTCCACAGTAGTTTTTAAAATTAAAGTACCATAATTCATTAAATCTGTAAGGCTGTTGATTATAAGATACACTGTTACTTTATATACCCTAAGAAAAATGAAAAAAAGTTGCCATTTAAACTATGATGCCAAAAGAGAAAAAACTCATAGAAAACTGGAAATAGAGGAGAGCTTCCTTAACCTGATAAGAAACACATCAAAAAAAACCCACCACATGCCCGGCTACCACCACTGACTGCTCTGACCAGGATCACAACAGAGGGTTCTGGACAGAGCTGGAGAAGGATGTAGAACATAATTCTAACTCACAAAAAAAGACCAGATTTACTGGCCTAAAGGAGACTTGAGAAACCCCGAGAGTATGGCCCCCAGACACCCTTTTAGCTCAGTGGTGAAGTTATCTTCGAGGTTCACCGTTCAGCCTGGGAGTGGACAGCTCCGTAAAACCAAATGGGACTAATGAGGTACAGTAGACCAGTGACAAGGGCCAGAAAGAAGAAGGGGACAAGGAAGCTGGTGATAGGGAACCCAAGATTGAGTAAGGATATTGTTGATGTGTTGTGAGATTGTTAACCATTGTCATAGGGCAACATGTGTAGTAACTGTTAAATGAGAAACTATTTTGTTCTGTAAGCCTTCATCTTAAGTGAGGATAGCAGCACGATTGGAAGAGCGTAGTCAATGTCACCGAACTGTGCATGTAGAAATTTTTGAAACGGTGTATCTTTGGCTATGTGTATTTTCACCAAAAAAAAAAAAAAGGTTGAGAAGTTAGAGGGTTGACATGTTGTGGTGTTGTTAACCAATGTCATAAAACAATATGTGTACTACTGTTTCATGAGAAACCATTTGTTCTGTAAGCCTTCACCTGAAGTACAATAAAAAGAAAAAAGAAAAAACCCACCACAGACATCCTGTTAGTGTGGAATGCTTTCTTTAAGGTCAGGAAAAGAACAGGGCAACCCCTGAGGCTGGATAGCTCCGACGATCTCACGAGGCAGGAAAAGTCCCCTCCAGGGCCTGAAAGGAGGGCTGCTGAGATGATTTTGTGCTTGCTTGGTGTCTTAGTTACCTAGTGCTGCTATAACAAATATCACCAATGGATGGCTTTAACAAACAGGAATTTATTTCCTCACAGTTTAGTATGCTGGAAGTCTGAATTCAGGGCTCTGGCTCCAGGGGAAGGCTTTCTCTCTCTGTTGTCTCTGGGGGAAGGTCCTTGTCTCTGAGCTTCTGCTTCTGGGTGATCTTCCTGTGGCTTGGCACCTCTCTTCCCCCATTTCTTCTTGCTAGCTTGCTTGTTTAATCTCTTTTATATTTCAAAAGAAATTGACTTAAGATACACCCTACACTAATCCTGCCTCATTAACATAACAAAGACAACGTATTCTCAAATGAGATTCTAACCACAAGCACAGAGGCTAGGATTTACAACACATATTTTTGGGGGACAGAATTCAATCCATAACACTTGGCATTAGAATCATTAACAGCATTTAGCAAAACTGCTGGATACAAAAATTAATGCAAAAAACTAATCATGTTCCTACCAGCAACAGAAAAGTGGAAAATGTAATTTAAATAAAGACCTCATGTTATAGAATTGCCCCTATAGTGCCAATCCATCTCACCGAGAATCTTCCTCCCCCACTCCTGGCCCTTTACTTCACCAAACAAGATGTCCTCCTTTAGCGACTGACCCTCCTGATGATATGTCCAAAGCAAGCTGGTCAGACAATGTTCTGTTGTGATCCATAGGGTTTTCCTTGACTAATTTTCAGAAGTAGATTGTCGGGCCTTTCTTCCTAGTCTGTATTAGTCTGGAAGCTCTGCTGAAACCTGTCCACCACGGGGTGACCCTGCTGATATTTGAAATACCAATAGCACGGTTTCCAGCATCATAGCAACACGCAAGCCACCGCCGGATGACAGACAGGCGGGTGATGGTTAAAAATTATAATGTTTCTTTATTTAAAAAAATCTTAAACAAATGTCACTTTGAGGACATTGGCATTACTGTGGTGGACAAAACCAACCCAAAGCTCTGAGGTGAGGAGGAAGAAGTGGGTGAGCAGTGATGAGATTAGGAAGAGCCCCATTTCAGAAGGGGTGAGGCTGGGGAGACTCAGGGCAGAGAGGGGAGGAGGGTGTGTCCACAATGGAGGCCTGGAGTTCACGGTTTGAGGTCTCCCATCGATCTCCAAACCCAGGTTGGTTCATTTGTGGTCACACCCAGCAGAGCCTTAAACCGCATGACTCACAGACATTTATTCAGAAGCACACGCGCACGGCACTGCAGTTAGAGTCTGCGGGCCGCATCATGGCCGGCAGAGCCGAGGCCTGCCCTGCTCTCGGTCCAGCTGCAGCCGCTATCCTCGCTCCCCAGCTCACTCTACGACTCCTCCACCTTCCTTCTGCTTCTCGAAGTCGCCAGCTCGTGCGTAGAAGTGAGAGGCAGGTCTGTCAGGCAGCACGGCGTGGAGGGACCTGGGGAGAGCCGAGGTCAGCTTGTCCAAGTGGCACCTCCATTTTTCCATCAAGGGTGTGGCAGAGTTGGCACACTGGAGCCCATGGCTTGGTTGTTTATGGCTGTGAACTAAGAGCGGTTTCAAACAAACAGGAATGTGTGACAGAGCCCACCAGGCCAAATATCTGGCTTTTGACAAGAGGAGTTTCCCCACCCTGAGCTAGAGCTTTGGGTAGGCAGCGAAGGCTGTCCATAAGATTGGCCAATGGACCAGTTTATTGGCTAAACGTGAAGAAAGCCTTTTTAAAAATACGTATTTCTTTTTCAGATCAATTTCAACCTGATCCTGCTCCTCTTGCTGGAGGTCTTCATGGCCGCCACCGTGATCATGGCTGCGCGGTCCAGTGAGGAAGACAGCAGGAAGAGGAAGGTGGGCCCCCTGCCCTGCCGTGGCCCCCACCGGGCAGCAGCCTGCTACCCGCCCCGCTGTAGGGGCCCGTGCGCCAACAGCTCCCTGGGCGGTGGGGCGCCACCTTCTCCATGCATGTAACTGTCGGCACACTGGTCCCCAGTATTATCACCTCCGGGCAGTGTCACACGGAGGGTCTGCCGAGGTATCACGTGTAAGCGGGGTGCTGGGACTCGCCCGCGTTTCCCCAAGCTGGGAGGAAATGCCCGTGTTTGAACTTCTGCTCAAGTCTGCACATTCACTAGCGGCTTGGAGACAGTCGGATTTCAGAACTGTTTGTGCGAGGGGCCGGCCCACCCGCGCATGGGGAACCCCCGCGTACCCTGGGGTGGTCTGCGGGCTCGGGTGCGCCTCCTTGGCTGGGTATGAAGAGGCTGCAGCAAACGCGTCCCGACGCCTGTCTCCTTCTAGGCTGACAAAACCAACATTTTGGATGAGGTGACCTTTCCTGCTCGGGTCCTGAAATCCTATTCAGTGAGAAAACTTTTCTTTCTTCTTATTATTTTGTTTACTTTTGAGCGAGCGTGTAGGCTGGATGAAATTATCAAACTTATTTATCAAGATAACTAAGATGTGAGTGTGTAAACGGTGATTGCGAGGCCCTGTCGCTGCCTGTGAAAGCCACTTCATTCCATTGAGGACGAATCTCCAAGCGCTTTGTTGGAAACAAAATACCTTACCTTAGAAGGTGCCACGGGTATTCCTTAATTCTTCGAGGCAGAGTTATATAGCTAGATGGAGAGATACAGACACAGGTATAGATAGAGGTGGGAGGGGGAGACAGACAGACAGACAACAGACACAGTCCTGGTTGACACTTTTCCCAGTGTAATTCCTATGGGTGGCCCCTGTCACTGTCAGCAGTGTCCTGGTTTGAAGGATAAATTAGATGGCCACCCTCTCTCGTTAACTGTGTTCTTAGTCTTTTATTCCCTTTCTTCTTCGTTTTTTTTTTTTTTTTTGGTCTACTTGTAATTAGTGAAAGGTTAACAGTCTCCCGATCTGACTGTGGCATTATTGGCTTCTCTTTGTAATTCTGTAGTTCTTCGCTGTGGATTTTTGGAGTCCATACTTCAAGTTACATACACATTTAGAATTGCTTCCTCGCAAATTTCATTTTTTCCCACAATAAACCAAAGAAACCAAACCCACTTCCGTTGAGTTCCGACTCATAGGGACCCTATAGGACAGAGTAGAACTGTCCTATAGAATGTCCAAGGCCGTAAATCCTTACGGAAGCAGACTGCCATGTCTTTCTCCCTTGGAGGGGATGGTGGATTCAAACGGCTGACCTTTTGGTTAGCAGCCGAGTGCTTTAACTACTTCGCCACTAGGGCATAGTTAGGTAGAAAGTGTCTTTTTCTTTAGTAATGCTTTCTGCCATAAAATCTATATTGGCTGATTTAACGGAGGCACAGCAACGACCTTTTGGTTGATATTTGCTGGATGCATCTTCCTTCCTCTTTAAACTTTTTGTGTCCTTCCACTTTAGTTCGCTTTTTCTGAACAGCGTAGAGCTGTGTTTCGTTGTCTCAAAACCAACTTTGCGGATCTCTGTCTTCGGACTTTCAGACTTAGTCTATTTACTATGAAGTGCTCGCTGGCAGGTTTGTGTTTATTGTTACAAACTGTTCCGTTTGTTTTCTATTTCCCTTTTCTCCCCTCCTTTCCTGCCTTCCCTGGAATCGACTGCAGCTTCTTCCTTCTTTTTCCCTCTTACTTTGGATTGGAAATGATGCCTCTGAGGTCTTCATGGCCCCACTAT